TTTAATATAAGTTTAACATGACAGCAAATGTACAACGTTTCGACAAGGTTTTGTCATCATCAGGTACCGATTATTTAAATCGATATTACCGATATTACTTATATTAAAGTTTTTCTTCATTACCCGTTTAAGCCGTCTCCAGCCATTAGTAGACTGTTTTGTTTTAGGACATTTGTCCAAGAAGATGGATAACAAATATACTCTGAAATAGGGCAAACTTACACTCTTTAACTAGTTTGTTTGTTTGTAGTTAAGCACAAACTACACAATGGGCTATCTGTGATCTGCCCACCATGGGTACCGAAACCCGGTTTCTAGCGTTGTGAGTCTGTAGACATACCGCTGTGTCACTGGGGGTAGGGGCTTTATAAAGAGATTTGGCTTTGAATTTAAAGATACAAGTACTTAGTCAGTACTTAATTCCAGAAAGCCAAGTATGGAATTAGCATCTAATAAGGTAATTAGCGATTTAATAAAAAAGAAAAAAAAACGAAGGAAGGAGAACATTACCCAAAATTTGATGACGAGAAACCCACTTATTAGATAATATAAGTTTGGGGACGCTTGATAGAGCAATGAAGAAAACTTTATAATAAATGTACAACGTTTCGACAAGATTATATCATCATCATAATGACACAATCTTTGGTTTGATCTTGGTTGTTGTTAAGCACGTAGCTACACAATGGGCTATCTGTGCTGTGCCCACCACGAGTATCGAAACCCGGTTTTTAGCGATGTGAAATACTGCCGAGATACTGGAGGTCATACTTTCTCCAAACTTTCATTACTTAACATTGTCCTTTAAACAGTTTTAGCTTCCTTAACGGGCACTCCCAGCGGGTACATGTTAAAAATGTTTATTATGCACTATTATATTAACCGCTTCTCATTCTTTATCTGTTATTAAATTATTTATAATAGGTCATACTTAACAGGCTTGCTAAAAATAAAATTTTAACCTTTCCTTGATTACCACGTTATGATCAATATAAAACAAGCCATACAGGTTATGGAAGTGTTGTTTCTAACAAACTATATCTTGCGGATTTTCGTCAATTTACAATTAATACGATAGTTCAGAGTACCAAATAATCTCACATGGTAAGTACTCCAAGCATAATGATGCACGTACGTATCTACACTTACTTAGGAATGATTCTGATAAATATATAGTGTACATGTTTTCCCATTACATTAATGTTCTTCATAAACCAGTTGGGCAGAAACCATTGAATATATACGCTAGACCAGGGGCTCTCAAACTTTTATCTTGAGGCCCCCAAGACCTTAAACACTCTGGCTGAGAACCTCTACCTAATAATTTAATATTTTAAAATCATATTCATTGAGCATGGCAATTAGTTTTTTTAAACACTCTCAGGCATAAATAACGTTGTGTAGTCATATTTATTACAATAAATAAGATTCTCGTTAAAAATATGCAAGGGAAAGTTTTAAACTGAATTTGTTTGCATGCACTAAAACCGTCTAGCAGATCTCCAGGGAAGTGTGCAAGGGAAGTTTTAAACTGAATTTGTTTGCATGCACTAAGATCGCCAGGGAAATGTGCAAGGGAAGTTTTAAACTAAATTTGTTTGCATGCACTAAGATCGTCTAGCAGATCTCCAGGGAAATGTGCAAGGGAAGTTTTAAACTGAATTGGTTTGCATGCACTAAGATCGCCAGGGAAATGTGCAAGAGAAGTTTTAAACTAAATTTGTTTGCATGCACTAAGATCGTCTAGCAGATCTTCAGGGAAATGTGCAAAGAAAGTTTTAAACTGAATTGGTTTGCATGCACTAAGATCGTCTAGCAGATCTCCAGGGAAATGTGCAAAGGAAGTTTTAAACTGAATTTTTTTGCATGAACTAAGATCGTTTAGCAGATCTTCAGCGAAGGGATTTTGTTTATTCGTTTCGTATTTCGTACAAGAGCTATCTGTGCTAGCTGTCCCTGAGTGTGGATTGACAGACTAGAGGGAAAGCTGCTGTAATCGAATAGTGGGACTTGATTGTCACTCTTATAACGCACCCACAGTTTCACTCTTTGGAACGGGATGCGAACCACGGATTCACGGTCAAACACATCAACCATTGGCCAGCCCCAGCCCAGATGGAAGGGAATAAGCTAAACTAAGACAATTATTAAACAAAACCAACCGTGTGCTTTGCGTTTCTCAGAGCTTCCAAGCAAGACGTGCATCATGCTGAAATCTTTACAGTCTCTTACCTCCTTCTTGTGACACATAAAAAGTGGGGTGAGCAATATGATTCCCGTGTCACTGAAGCCCCAGTTTGGGGGTCGAGTGTTACTATTTCATACGAGGTAATGTGACATATATATATATATTGAAAGAGGAAAGGTATGTACACAAAGGGAAAAAGCTTTGGCTATACTGAACCTTGGCATCAGTGTTAGACTCGAGGGTAGACGGGGTTGGACATCATTTACCCACTATTATATTTGTCAGAAAATGCCATTTCTCATACTCATATCTACACTGTTATCTGTCTTTAACAGTAGTTTTGGAGGGTTTAAATCTTGCTGTTTTATCTCTGTGTTGGGTAACCTTATACAGCCCACACAGTATGTTCTGTAGGAGGAGTCTTATCCTGTCTGGCATTACAGATACGACAAGGACAAATAATCTTAATTGAAAACTGAAGACTGTGCAGTTATCAAGTAATGTAATATACCCAGGTGTTACTGACGATTATAGACGACGTGTGAAGATTTATGGCGTTTCACATAATGAATTTTAGAGTTATGGATGATGACGGACTAAGTATGATGAATTCTCGCGTTTCACGTAATGAATTTTAGAGTTATGGATGATGACAAAACAGTATTCTTGTTCCTGGTACAGGTCATGCACCACGGCGTCAATAACATAAACTTATATTACGAATTGTAAGAAATTATGAATAAAAGCAAGGAAGATTATTTTCACAATATGTTAATAACACTATACCTGCTATATTCAGTGCCGAAGAGGCATTTCGTTCAGTACCAGGGCTCATCAGGCCGACTGGGATGCGACAGATACAGTAGTGGTCTAAGTTCTATTTATATCACTATTTGCATGAGCAACTACTGTAACAGGTAAATTAGATTAAGTAAGTGCAGTGTAATTATTATCCATTTTATTTAAGTCATTTATAAATCAGAATTACGGTAAACTCATTTCATTTTTAACATCAACTATTCATTTATTTTTAGTAATTGAAATTAATATTACTATCATTCAGAAGAAGTGGCGAACCAGCAAGCTGGTATTTTAGTTCCCGGAGCGGGTCAAGTAACCCTAAGATAAATTTGATGATTAGAATGGTCAGGTGTTCCGGTATAATGAACTTAGGGGCTGTAACGTGTAGTGAAGAAATGGTCATAGCTCCTATACTGGAGCACTATAGCAAGTCATGAAATGTTTGCTTGTGTCAGAAAAAAACTTAATAGTTTTAATGCTTGGAGAGGCTTAAATATTACCGATTTATTGTCGATTTGAATGTAAATAAGTGACAATACGAAGATCCTTCCGTTTTAAGGGATTAAACTTTACTTCCCATTTTAGCGCTACACAAATAGTACAACAACAGTGCAGCTTACTACGGCACATGTAAAGAATGTTCAGGAGACTTCATAACATAAACTGAAACTTCTTTCAGGTTCACGTAGTTTTGGTTTCACTTTCAGTACTTTCATGGTTTAATAAAAGTCCACTAACGAAATTTTGTTAAATATTTTCACCTATTTCAAAACATTCCTTGGTTATTTATTTATTGTAAAGAAACGTGATTGTATTATCATTCCGCTACATTCTCTCCTACTCTATACTTGAACTGGAAGCACTTGGTTACAGTAGCTTTCTTTTTGTGTGTGTTACTTTAGGAATACATACTGAAACTCATGTTTAACAGTAAGAAGAAATATATTTTTATTGATAATTCTTCGGAAACAATTTAAAGCCTTCAGATGTACATATTTAAACTGTACTTAATTCTTATGCTCGTGAAAATTGGACTCCATTTTACTCACCTTTCAGCACGTGTTCCATTTTGCCCCAAAATTATTCTCGCCCTGTTGAGTGTATTCCGTTGATTTGATAAAGGAAGACGTACACCTTTTACGTTGTTTATTACTGTTTCAGCGTTCTGTTTAACTTTTTATTTCACGGTAAACCTCACAATTAATATCGTATTTCAGCTAATATCTTATTATAGCTTATTTCAAATATAACTTTTTGGTAGATAAAACGGTTTGTCTTTTAGTCCATCTCGTTTCATACAGCGGATAACCTTCCTTATATTTTCTTCTATTACTGTTTTTTTTTTTTTTAGCCAAAGCTTTATCCGTTAGAACATAACCTTCATCCTACAGAAAAAATGTGTGCTCATATCCAAAACTACAAGCATCTCTGTGAAATGGAACCTCAAGCACACTTCAAGATAACGTCCCAAAATGTAGTTCATTTGTATCAAATTCTTCTTTCTCTGTAGGCCAACTTACATGAAGATAGTTAAACATCGACGTCATCGTGATGTTTGGTTCCCACTAGAGAAAAAGTCCTGTATACGTTTTATGGCGGCGACTGTCACATGTCACGAGCTTGGAGGTTCTACCACAATACACTCTTAAGCTGCGCAAAGTATTTGGTTAAATTACAAAAAAAAAAGAAAGAAATGATCCTTCTTAGTTTTCTGGACCAATGAGGTTATATTGGACTTAACACGCTAACAAGCTAAGTTTACACACGAGAGGTATACTGTGTGCCGACATGCGATGAGTTCCTTCTGATCTGTATTCTCAGACGTGACGTAATACACTAACTGTAACGGTACATGCAAAGAGTCTCGCCGCACAGGCGCGTCGAAAGAAGGTTTGAGCCGAATTGTCCTGCGCGACGCTGGAAAATTACGAAAAAGAAAATAACACATGGACCATTTTTGTCAGCTTTCTTAAAATAACTGTTACGTCCAAGTATATATAATTTGGTAACTTGGTAACAGTTATAAGTATAGTTATTAATTGGTAGACTTAAAGTGAAGGCTTAAATCGTTAGGTATCATCGGACCTAAAGTTGTTTTAATTTGAACTTCACTTCTGATAATTTTGAAGACACCTCAATGAATAAATGCACAGCTATCTAATAAATACGGTACAGTAAACAAATATAATAGACAGCTGTCTCATAAATACGGTACAGTAAAACAATGTTAGTCATAAACATAACAGACAGCTATCTAATAAATACGGTAATTAAACAATCTTAATCATAAACGTAACAGACAACTATCTAATAAATACGGTACAGTAAAACAATGTTAGTCACAAACATAATAGACAGCTGTCTCATAAATACGGTACAGTAAAACAATGTTAGTCATAAACATAACAGACAGCTATCTAATAAATACGGTACAGTAAACCAATGTTAGTCACAAACATAATAGACAGCTGTCTCATAAATACGGTACAGTAAAACAATGTTAGTCATAAACATAACAGACAGCTA